TACATTCGGAGGGCATTTGCCTTGCACGCAGCTGACCCAGGTTCAATCCCCGGCATCCCATATGGTCCCCGAAGCACCACCAGAATAATTCCTGAGTGCAGAGCCAGGGGTATCCCCTGAGCCTCGCCGGGTGGGAGTTGTTAGAGGTGTCTCTGTAGTAATACGCCGTTTTTCAAAATGAATGTTTTGTTTGGGTGCTCGGGGCTGGGCAGGGCCAGGCAGGAGCCGGCTTAGCTGTCCGCAGGCAGACACAGTTCCCGCTCTGAACAGTCACCTGTGCCCCTGAGCAGTTTGAAAGAGGCCCCCCTAATGCTTTCCTTCCACTGAATCTTCCTCTCTGCTCTGCTCCAATGCGGAGTTTCTGGTCCTTTTCTGAGGACTCTTTGGACATCCCGACCAGGATATTTTGGACTGAAGTGTGAGGCAGCACCCCAGACTTGGCAGAGACATCCTACGGGATCTTTGGGGATGTTATGCTCAATCTGGGCCAGGCTCTCTGGGAGGTCTCCCTCTCTACCCTGCCCTCAGTCTGCACCCCTCGTCCTCATGCCTCTGGGGTGCACGCCTGTTGGCCGCTGCCTTAGACAGGGTCGAAGATTCCACAATGAGGGGCTGGAGCAGTAGCACAGCAGGTAGGGCGTTTGCCTTGCATGCGGCCGACGCTGGTTCGATTCCCAGCATTCCATATGGTCCCCCGAGCACCACTAGGAGTAGTTCCTGAGTGCATGAGCCAGGAGTAACCCCAGTGCATTGCCAGGTGTGTCCCAAAAAGAAAAAAAATATAAAGAGAGTCCTGCGATGGGCACCAGCAGTGCCGCCCCATCAGGTGGAGTGCAGGTGAAGCGTGTTGCGTGATTTTTCTCCTCTGCTCTCCCCACTTGCTGGATGAAGGGATTGAGGCACAGGAGCGATCTTGAGGCCCCGCTGGGGACCGTGTGTGCTCTGTCAGCACTGCTGAACCATCCGCCTGGGGGGCGCGTGCGTGCTCTTTGCTCTTTCTGGGCCAAAGATGTTTCTTTTTGTCTGTGTTAAATGGACCTTGTGGCCCTTCTCCGAGACAGTGGCTGCCCTCCTGCTGTCCCCTGTGACACTCGCTACTGTATGTGGGAGAGGCTGCCTGCCCTTCTACAAGCCCAGAGTGTTCTGCTGTGTGCTCACGCGGGCAGGCGGAGGCCAGCCTTTCCTCGCCCGCCCAGCAATGCTCTCCCCCAGTAGAGGTGCTGCCTTGGGGCCTCGGTGCTGACTCACAGAGCCTGTGCCCACGCGCCTGGCCCTCTCCCACAGGAGTGCTACTAGGACAGCGACCAGACGAGCCTGTTCCACGCGGCCAAGGGCCTGATGACGCTGCAGGCCTGTGCGGGACCATCCTGTAGATCTTCTGCAGTGGCAAGTGCGCCAGGGTGAGTCGGGGCAGGGAGGGAGGCCTCTCTCCTGCGGGTGGGGTTTGGGGCTCCACCTCACAGTGCTCTTGGCTCTGTGCTGGGGCCACCAAACCAAGGCTGTCTGCGTTCAAGGCTTGATCCCTGACCCCTCTGCTGCCTCCCAGCCCTCTTTCCTTTTCTCTTTTCTGTTCTTTATCTTTTCTTTTCCATCCCTAGTCTCCCTCCCTCTCTCGCCCTCTCCCTCCTCCCGCCCTCTCCATACCCTGCAGTGCTCGGGGCTCACTCCTGGCAGGGTTTGAGGGATCGTACGTGGTGCCAGGAATTGAACCTGTGTCAGCCACCTGCAAGGCAAGCATCCTACCCACCATACTGTCTCGGGCCTATCTTGTTTTATTTTATTGTTCCATTTTTTTCCGCCTTATTTTTAAATTTTGGATTGCCGGGGTCTTTTTAGCTTCATTTTAAAATCCGCCCATTGCTAAAAAGGCTCTCCCTGACTCTGTACTTTGTTCCCAGCAAGTGGCCAATATGATGATGAGGATGAAGAGAGAGTTTACAGAAAGTCAGAATTCAATATTTCCTGTTTTTGATAACCTCTTGTTGCTTGATTGAAATGTGGATTCATTAACGCCCCTTGCGACTCAGCTGACATACGAAGGACTCGTCGATGAAATTTATGGCTTCCAGAACAGTAAGTGAAGCGACATCATTTACTAATAGGTTAGCTGAGTAAAATCAATCTCAAAAGTGTCTGTTTTTAAAGGTGTGGCATTTGTGTATAAGTCAGAATACTTGAAAATGTCAGGCGCTGACTTTCAGCCCAAGGTTAAAGCAAGCTCGAGCCAGGACACCATAGGGGAAACCGAGGCAAAGGGCCTTGTACAGAGGGCCATGCGGTGTGAAGCCCCGCTGCTCGGGCCGCCCAGGGAGGCGTAAAGAATAGAGCGTTTCTGAGGGGTGCCTGGGTCTGAGGTCAGGGGACTTTGGCCCCGGGTGTTAGATTCTGTAGCATTTCAGATCTGAGTGGGGGCTAGGAAAGCTCACGGGGCTAGTGCCAGGCACACAGCCAGCGCTCGTTGCCATCCGCGCTCCTGCCTCGTCCAGTGAGCACTGAGCCGGGAGTATCTCCTGCTGGGATACAGTCTGAGAAGTTTCCCACAGTCTGATTCGTGTCTTTTCTTCAGAACAGGGAGCCCTAGGCCGCAAGAGGGGTAACTCCAGCGCCTTCAGGAGTGGCCCTGGCCGGGGGCTGGGGAAACAGCCCTGGGGATAGAGCCCCGGTCTGGAAGGACGGGGATGCAGCTAACTGCATGGGGTCTCTCTGGGGACACAGAGCCTTGCAGCTGCTGAGTGCTGGCCGAGTCCAGACAGTGCTGTCTATCCAGTGTGCCAAGCTGGTTATCGCAGAGTGGATTGCGATGGCGTGTGTGTGTGTGTGTGTGTGTGTGTTCGTGTGTGTGTGTGTGTGTGTGTGTGTGTATGTCACTGCAGTGGTGAATGCGTGGCTCAGTGACAGCGGCCACGGAAGCAGAACAGGACCACACATGGAGGCATTTCCACACAACAAAGCGTTTTCCTGCTCTTTAATGATTATGGGGGTGTTTCGGTTTATTTTTTACCAGTTGTTCCAAAGGATAACTTCTTAAGTTGCTTCCTTTTGTGGGGACAGACGTAAGCAGTGCCCCAGGGGCCGTGGGGCTGATCTTGGTGATTTTCTGCTCTGTGGGGCCAGTCTGTGGCCCTGGGGCCACCGGGGCTGTGCCTGGCAGCGGCTGGGGGTGATGCCACACACACAGCCCCTCCCCAGACTCCTGCTCCGAGCTCTCACTGGCACGGGAGCACCCCGTGCGAGGGGTCCCCACCTCCTGGTGATTCTGCAAGTCCCTCGATGGATCTGGCAGAGGTGCTGGGGTTGGAGGTGCAGAGGTGTGAGAGATGGGGCTCGTGGGGTGCCTCCGGGGGGAAGGAGTTCCGGGATCTCACAGTCTCTTCACATCACACACTTACTTCTGATCAAACATTTAATTAAGGGAGAGAGCTGAAGTGATAGTACAGCGGGTAGGGCGCTTGCCTTGCACACGGCTCAGCCCGGGTTCGATTCCCAGCATCACATATGGTGCCCTGAGCACCGCCAGAAGTAATTCCTGAGTGCAGAGCCAGGAGTAACTCCTGTACATTGTTGGGTGTGACCCCCCCCCCCAAAAGAAACCATTAAGAGAAATCTGAAAAACAAGGGGAAATTGGGCTTCTCCATAACCCCCCAGCTCTGCGCCTGTGGCTGGACCGAGGGCGATGGCAGGCCCGTGCAGGAGCTGCGTGCAGGCTGCCTGGGCCAGCAGCTGCCCCTCTGCTTTGAGCTGGAATGCGAGGTCTTGCCGACCTCGTGTATCTCAGCATGTGCTCAGGCCCCGGGTCCCGCGGCTACCATGGTGTGCTGTCTCCAGACGCTGGTGCCCGGGCTGTTCTGAGGGGCTTAGGATTTGGAAAGCATCCGAGAAGTATTTTTCTTCCGTCGGTCACTTTCTCTCCCACATTTTCAGATGCAGGATTTCTTCTTGTTGCTTTATGATTCTCAGCACCCACCCCACAGTGCTCAGGTCTCACACGGGGCAGTGCTCAGAGGAACAGACAGCTGGACTTGAGCGTGCGCTGCCCCCGATGACCCGTCTCTCTGGACCCACAGCAGTGGAGCTGATTGTGTGTAGACACGTCGGGATTTGTGTTGAAAGGGGAGGAGATATTTTTTTGAAAGGAACCAACTTGGAGCTAGAGGCAGTGCAGCAGTTAGGGTGAGTTTGGTCCCCAGGACCGCATATGGTTCCCCCAGTCACTGCCAAGAATTAGCCCAGAGCACAGATCCAGGAATAAGCCTTGAGCACTGACAGGTTTGGCCCAAAAAGCAGAGAAAGGAAACAGAAAGGAAAGAAGCCATCGGAGCTGTCTCCCGCCCTCAAGCACACTTCCATGCTGAGATGATTCCTGGGATCTTGTTTTTTTTTTTTTTCTTTTTCTTTTTCTTTTTCTTTTTCGGAGAGTATCTTCCCTGCATGGCAAAGCCTGGCAAGCTACCCATGACGTGTTCTATATGGCAAACAAAGTAACAAGTCTCAAAATGGAGACGTTACTGGGCCCGCTTGAGCAAAATCGATGAACAATGGGAGGACAGTGACAGGGATCACACTTGGCAATGCACAGGGGTTACTCCTGGCGCTGCACTCAGGAGTTACTCCTGGCGGTGCTCAGGAGGGCATATGGGATGCTGGGAATCGAACCTGGGTCTGCCCTGTGCAAGGCAAACACCCTCCCTGCTGTGCTATCACTCCTGCCCCATCCTGGGCTCCTCTTGGCTTGTTGAAATGGCGGTATAGACGGCATGCACTTGCACGCGCCAGCAGGACAGACAGTGGGCCGCCCTGGGGCATGTTTCCTTGGGTGGCCCCATCCTGAGGTCGGTTCGGGCTGGCAGTGGCAGGAGGCGTCCCACAGACCAGGCCAGGGAAGCCGTGCGTGAAAAGCGTGAGTGTCCTACGCAGGTGTGCATCTAGTGACTCAAAGCCCAGTGCTCTCCCCTGACAGGAAATCTCTGGAGTCTCACTTGGGGTGTCCCCTCCCGTGCAGGTCATGTAAAGCTGCCACCCGAGAAATTCGTCCCGAAGAGGCAGGGTGATGGACAGGACCTGCCCACAGGGGCCAAGAAGCTGCCGCTGGACTCAGCCGAGGAGCTCTACGCCGAGATCCGAGACTGCAACTTCAACGCCGTGGGCGCCGTGCTCAGCAAGAAGGCCAAGGTCATCTTGGCCGCCTTTGAGCTGACTGGGGCCTGGGGCCAGGCGGCAGGCGGGCTGTGCGCGCCCGGGGAAAGGTGGTGCCAGGCCCTCTCCTTGTGTCAGGTCCTTTGCCAGTCATCGTCTGCACTCCCTGTCCCTCCCTTCTTCCTCCCAGCCGCTGGAAATAGGGAAAATTGGGCATGGCTGGAGTTCTGGCAGGCCGAGTGAGACCCCCCACCCCCCAAGTGGGTAATCACCATCTAGAGTGTGCGACCCTCAGCCTCAGCGAGAAAGGGAGGGAAAGGGAAAATAAATACTGGAATGAAGTGGAAGATGCAAGGGGGAAACACATCGGCTTGATAATGTCTTCTAAAAACAGCGTACCAGGGCCAGAGAGATAGTAAGGTGGGTAGGGCACTTGCCTTGCCCCTGGCAGACCCGGGTTCATTCCCAAGCACCCTATACGGGCTCCCAATCCCTGCCAGGTGTCACCCCCAGTGCCAAGCCAGGGAGTCAGCCGGAACCTGTGCATTGCCCCAATGATCCCGGTGCCTGTCTGCGCCCTCTGCACCCTCTACCATTGGAAGCTTGTGCAGGTATGTTTGAGATGCGACCGCGTTTCCCTGCTTTCGTGGGCATGTGAGTTGATTTGTGGTACTGTTGCTGCTGGTCTCAAGACAGGACCTTTCTAGAACGCAGGTGCATCACCAGATTGCCGGGCACCTTTTCCCCTCAGCATGTTGGTCTCAGCAGCACCTTAAGAGAAAGAACCCGGGCCTCGCTTAGGTTCTGGGCTGCTGTCACCTAGCTCCCTGTGGATTTGCCCATGTCTCTGGGCTTCGGCCTGTGGAATCCAGAACTTTCCTGGGCTCCCCCGATGGTCTCTCCCCACCCCAGTCATTGAGCAGGGAGGTGCTTGCATGGCCTTGTGTGGTGACAAGACAAGGGCCTGCCTGCCCCTGTGTGGTGACAGGACATGGGCCTGCCTGCCCCTGTGTGGTGACAGGACAGGGGCCTGCCCGGCCCTGTGTGGTGACAGGACTCGGGGTTCACCTTCCATGCGAGTCATTGCAGGTCTTGGAGAGGCCTCTCTGCTCCTTCTTTTCCCAGTCAGCAGTGCAGAAGCGTTGAGGAAGCGGCTTGGTCACCCCAGCTGAGGGTAGGGGCTGTCTCGATCACACCCACGGTCGCTCCTGGTCTTGCGTGGGTGGGGTGGGGCCATCCCAACAGACAGACCCAAGACAGGTCGGAACCAAGGGCCCCACATCCCCCCGTGGATGCTGCATTCTCGTCTTCTCTCCCGCCCTGAGCCACGATGGCCCCCGTGCCCGCATCCCGGCGGGGGAAGCCACGGCTCTGCTCACCTGAGCTGCTCGCAGGGGCCCTCACTCCAGGTAGTCTGCTCAAGGGACCCCAGAACTTGGGCACCCTGGCGTGCGTCATGTGAGCAGTCAGATTGGGCTCAAGGCGCTGGGGGGCTCGCCCCGCCCGGGTGGAGATTGCCAAGGGCCCCGGCGCCCTCACCAAGGTCCATCTCTGAGGCTTCCTCGTGTGAATATGAGGGATCTTCCAGCAGTCACAGGACGGAGTCTGCTACTCGTGTCCGACCCCACCCCCTCCCGCACACACACACAGAAACTGATTTTTATGTAACTTCCTCATAGAACGGTGTGCGGTGCTGCCCGAGGGGAACAAGGGGTCCTCAGTGTCCTAAACGGGGAAAATGACCCAAATTGAGGTGCTTCCTGTGTGCAAGTGTCCCATCACGCCACAGCTCCCAGGGCTGGTGTTTCCCTGTCCAGAAGACGCTCGACAGACGTGAGCCAAAGCTCTAGCTGGGAGGAAGCATTTGTACCGCGGGATGAAGTAGAACTGCCTTTGAGTCAAGCTGACATTTTCAAGAAATACAAAACAGACTTTTTCCCCCCATTTTTAGTACCAGAGCAGATAACCCCCAAGGTTATTTGCTTCCCTGAAAGATATTTAGCTTGCCCTTTCAAAGTTCATTTAGAGCAGATCTTGGCGTTCAATCCGAGTTGGATGCTAACCGAGGTCAAAGTGTTTGCTTATTTGTGGCCTTCTTTGTCTCTTAAGAGGAACCGTAGTTAGAGGCCACCAGAGAAAACAAAACACAAGCACCCGCTTCCTCCCAGCTTGGTTCCTCTGTTCTCAACCCCCGGCCATTTGTCTATGCATCTTCCCCAGAACAGGCGGGGGACAGAGGTAGAGGGAAGGTCTGAGAAGCCCCTGCATGGTGCTCCCCGAGTAGTGCTCCCCATCTTTGTGGCTTCTGTTGAGGTTCTGAAATGAGTCATCAGGTGCTAGTGACAAATGTCTCATGTACAGCGTGACACAAAGATGGAGTTTGTGCCATCAGTTCCCATGGTGGGAGAAGGTCGGGTTTTGGGGGTCAGTGGCAGGAGGATGTGACCCATAGCATGTCAGCTTTATCTCGGGTGGGGAAAAATGGGTCGTTTGGGAAGAAGTGTGCTTGGGGTACAGATTTGCTGTGTTTTTCTGGATTTCTCTCTCTCTCTCTCTCTCTTTCTTTTTTTTTATGTAGGAGTTCTACTATTTATCCAGCCAATGATTAGCTGATTGAATTGTGCATGAACTCCACCTTACTTTTTTTTTCACTTTTTATGATTTTATTTATTGAATCACCGTGAGAGCAGTTACAAAGCTTTTAGGTCTAAGTCTCGGTCATACAATGAAACACCCGTACCTTCACCAGTGCCCATTCTCCACCCCCAACAACCCCAGTATATCCCCATCCCACACCCACCCCCTACCAGTGGGGCAGATGATTTCCACATTACTCTCTCTCTACTTTGATCACATTCAATATTTTGACACCAGACCCACCATTATTCTTTGAGATTTTGCCTCAACACTCAGATCTGCTGAAAAGGCAACAGGAGACAATTTGTTTCCTATTTCTGGTTATGAATAACACATGATGTTTCATGGCTGCAGTACTGGCCGCACAATTTTGAAATTCCGAAATTTGAACACTTAAATCTGGAGGGATTTCTGCCAAAACCTGCTGGGTTCCGAGATTTGCTCCTGAGTCTCTGGGATCATGGTCGTTAAGCAGCTTGATTAGGAGCCAGAAAGGCCATTTGTGGACAATGACTTGGGGTCTCTTGGGGACGGACGGGGAGGACAGGACTGGCTCCACCCCCATCCTGTGAGGCCCAACAAGTTTTGTCACTGAGGTCCCAAGCCTGACTGTCCAGTGGTCTCTGGAGGATGGCGGCCACCAGGCCACCAGTGGGAACAGGCCAAGGCATGAAACTGTGGGCCCAGCACAGCAGGGACCAGACGCATTTCAGCCAAAAGCCACTGGGTTTCGAGATTTGTTTCTGAGTCTCTGGGATCATGGCCATTAAGCAGTTCTATCAGGACGCAGAGAGGCCATGCCTCCAATGATCTAGCTGAACCGGAGGTGATTTGTGGGTGTGTTTCCCACATACCTAACTTTTCGCCGTTTACTTTCTTGGTAAACTTTGCCCCAAGTTTTTGGGGTCTAGTCAAAGGCACAACAGCAATTTGGGGGTATCTGCAAGTGTGGAGGCGCCATCAGGCTGCTGATGGACTCGCCTCACAGGTACAGTGTTTTTTGTTTGTTTGTTTGTGTTTTTATGTAGGAGTACTGCTATTTATTCAGTCACTGATTAGCTGATTGAATTGGGCATGAACTCCACTGTAAAAAACTACGCACGCTGAAGGTTGTGTGTTCGTGGGCTTTCTGGTCGGCTGTATCTCACCGCCCGCGTTCGGTGCCCTAGAGCCACTGTGTGTGGCCTGCATCGGGACGGCTGTTGGCCAAGGGCAGATGAAGGAAGAGATGAGGGCCAGACTGGTTGATCTTTGTAGCAGTTTATTACAAGGAAATTTATCCCATAGAAGAAATTTATGTTCTGGAGGGCCTAGATTCTCTCAAGCACAAGTTCTCCTTGCTAGTCTCTTGGTAGTCCATCTTTCAGCCCAGCTCTTTGATTCTCCAGCTCCCTTCTAGTCTGGGCTGACACTCCACCCAGTCAGGTAGCCATATCAACATAAGAAAGTCCTTCCTGACTGCTCAAGGGCAAGATACCTCTTAAGGTGTTTTTCTCTTTTCCTTAGTCCAATAAACTATCAACTATTCCTGAGGTTGTGCAGGAAGGACAGAACAGTGTTATCCTACATCTCCCACTTTTTCTTTTTACAAAAAAACACAAAATTTGAAACAGGAAAAATTACTAGCTATTTTTGTGTGGACACAGTAAGAGATAACATTGAGACTTGTAGGGCAGCTCTCCTGGGAACATCTTGCCACAAACTCAGACTACAGTGCTCAGGCCAGATTAATTATTCCTAGCCCTAGCAAGGTCCAAATCTAGTTATTACTTTTTGGATCATGACAGCATTTGTCCATGACCAAGCTCTTAACTTATAGTTAAGCATTATGGCACCTTGGCCAGGCCCATCTCAATGCCAGGGTAGCACATAGCTTACGGCTTGCCCTGGGTCCATCCAGTCCCTCGTCGGGACCTTGCCTTTAGGGGTGCTAGGAAGTGAGGGCAATTGAGGCTTAAGTTGAGAAAGCAGATGCCCAGGAATGAAATATCAAGGAGAGTCACATTACAAAAGCATGTCTTCTTGTGTCCATACAAAAAGAACACTGCTTTGAATAAACTATGCAAAGGACTTAGGGAGAAGAGAAAAACAATAATTTACAAGTCAACAGAACACAAAGAAAGTTACAAATAAACACAGAGAAATGGGAGCACTGTAATGGGAGCAACCCAATAAACCTGAACCCATCTCCCCTTTTTTCTTTTTACAAAAACACAAAATTTGAAACAAAGGAACAATTCCAAATACAGAACAGTCTCATTAGTTGTACCAAGATTTCAGTCCAATCCTGGACCTAGAGCAGTGCTTCTGGTAAAGTGTTCAATTGTCCTGCACTGTCCAGGGGTGATTAGAATCACCAATGATGAGAGTCATTTAGTCCCATTCTGAAGAAACAAAGTGTCTGGATCAAAACTGAAGAGTTGTTCCTGTAACAGCATCAGGAG